AATAAAAATAATAATAATAATAAAGGGAGAAATGTGGGATCCACATATAAATCAAGTATAAAAATCAAACGAATATTCATATTTGACCTGATTGTTTATAGTTCATAATGCGTGATCAGAACCGAAAGTTTCTGTGATGACTGCCCTTGCACTGTTCACCATGCAAGAACTTATTCACTATGTAAGAATTTGTCAATAAACTCCTAGGGAGTATGTGGGGAACTAAATCCCATAGATAATTTTTCTTATATGCAAAAATTAGTTGCCCTCATTTTATTATAATTTCTCCCTAATTCATAATAGAAATGTCTAAATAACTGGCTATAGTGACTATTTGCTGTATTCCATTGTTTCACCCCAAAAATGAAGGAAAAGTAGAAAGAAAGGAAGGGAGGGAGGAAGGAAGGAGAGAAGGAGGGAAGGGAGGGAGGGATGAAGACCCTGAGATTTTTACTTTCTTAATTTCTCTATTACCTGAATCTTCTTCCACTTTTGAGGGCAGATCAGGTATCCTTAAGCTTAAAATTCTATGTGATAGTTACAAGGTAGATGTTGTTTAAGAACTAGTGAAGAAAAAAGTCTCTTGTTTTAAAGGTAACTTGTTTTTTTGAACAAAGAGAATATTTTGATGCCCAGCACTGCTCCAGGAGACAATACCCAACCTCCAAAAGTGTCAAGGTGTCATTAAGGTCCATCGTTGGAAACACAGTTACTTGAACCTTTTTCCCTTCAACTTAAGGGAACTAGTTGTGAAAGAATGCAACTAAGCAATGTAAGATGCTGTTTCATTTTTACGGCAGCATCAAAGCAAGCATTTCTTCCTCCTGAGGGTCCTATGAGTCCCTGTATCTCTCTAAATGCCTATAATTATTATCTACATATAAATGGTTTCTTATTCTAATTTCAAGTACTGATTTTTTCTTTTATCTACCAGTTTAGACATTTTGTTGTTTTTTTAGGGTTCCTGCGGTTCATCCGAGAGAACTGATGGGAGATACCCTAAATTCAGAGCCCGCAGAGAGCCTCTCCAGCAGCACCAGGATGACACCAAGCACAGAATCACAAACTTCAAGGTAATGTCCTTTATGTACACTTTCAGTCTTTGAACCTTCTCTGTGTTTATGGCTACAGCCCTTTAAGCAGCGACTGCAGGGTTCATATAAGGATACTTGTAAAAGAAAAGATACTCTTTGATGTATGAAAGAGATTTTCAGTTATGTGGGAGTTAAGGAGAAAAATCCAAACATTGTGCTTATGTCTTTTACCTGAGAACTAGTCTTTACATTTATGTCATTGTTGCTTAATATGTTGTTTCTCTATGGGAACTGATGTTGATTTAGAAACCTGTGCCAGCAAATCCCTGGTGTCCTGGTTGGTCAAAGACTGTGTATGGTTGCTGACTCTCCACCTAAGCCCAACTATTGTCAGTGCTCAAGTCCCCCATAGATAGTAGTTTATAAACTATAGTTTTGATACTTGCAGTAACTCTTTCCCTGAGGCTGTGTACTCTATACTACTACTTCATTAGTGCGGAACCAACCCAAGAGACTGCAAAGATTTGACCACAGTGACCAAAAACCTACCATTCCCTAGAGTCTCCCTAAGGACCACTTGGGGTGTCGGTGATTTTAAACTCACCTGACCCTAAACAGTTACAGAGCAGGGCTTCTCAACTTGACGTTATTAACATTTGGGTCAGATCACTTTTACCATAGAGGCTGCGCTGTGCTTTACAGGCTGTTCAGCAGCACCTCTAGAGGCCTCTCACTAGCTGCCCGTAGCATCCTCCATTCTGAGTTGTGGCATCTTAAAATGCTTCCACACACTGCCTAACGTCCCCTGGAGGGCAAAATTGGCCCTCATTGCGAACACTAACCTAGAGAGAATCCAGCTATATTCAAATATACACTCCAAGTCAGTTAAGGAAAGAAAAAACTGTTAAGGTCACTTCTGGCTTTTTGTATTCTTACAGACTTCAATATGTATGAATATTCATTGCACTGTATATATTTGTTTATTACAGCAAAATATAATTATGTCTAAGAAGCTTTTTCTCTCCTCTGAATATAATTGGATACAAACCTCAGTGGATATAAAAACAGTGCTCATTTCCTTAAGTCCTCCGTTAGCATGCTTAAAATGAGCACTCCACTTCCCTCATCCAAACAGAAGCTTAGCACGATTATGCCACATTATTGATACCCTTATTGTGAAGAAGCTGTCCTGTGACTTTGTACCTTTACCTTTGTGTTTTATGGATTAGTAGTATAGACTATAGTGGAGACCTCATTGTTTCACATAGCAAAGTTTAAGTTTATTGACTCACCTTCCAACATTCCCATCAGGTCCCATAAAGTCAAGCACTTCTCCTCCATTTACAGGGGTTGTGCTAACCTTAAACAAAAATACAAGGCTTGATGATGATAGCTAATAATAATAATAACTACTTATTACTGAGCCAGCCATGTGAAATTGCTCTTTTTCTAGGTGTCACATGCTTTATGTGCATTATCTCTTTTAATCCTCCCTGCAATCCTGTCAGGCTGGCCCCTAATGGTTATAGAACAATTAAATGGTTGAATCAGGATTAAAATCTAAATCTGCCTGGCTACAGTAACCTATATCCTTGACTACTAGGCTATTACAGTATGATCTCATATACATTAATTTTTCTAGAAATCACCAAATGTAGGACTATATTTTTAATATATAAAAGTCAGTTGTCTCCAAAAATACATAAACATAATACATGCCTCTTAGTTCAACAGAGGTCTAGATTCAAATGAAACCTTTAAAATGGTATTTCCCAATACAGTTAGATTTGGTATCAGGTGAATCAGTGTTATCCAGTAGCACCCAAATTGCTCTAAATCAGTGCAGCTTCCATAACAGCATATGGCAAAGCTATGAATATTTAACATGTTTGGCAAGTAATCTCATTGGAGTTCTCTTTCAAATCGCATTTGTAGCTAAAGAGGAAATTGGGGCTGGCTTGTAAGTGAGGCCAATGCTTAGAGATATGAGAAATAAGTTTGAAGATAGTGCCAGTATAGGAGAGGGCGACGAAGCACATTTTATGATGACATTGTTCCACATTGATACTACTTAAACATTTTAAAGCATTGATCCATTTCAGAGATGGATATGTAGACTATCACCATATGTAACATGTCTGGCCTGAAATAATGCAATAATATAACACAAAACTCAATTTCATCACATTTTTTTGTAACCATTGGAGAATAAAATTCGGGAGCACATTTTTGTCAGTTGTAGATACCAATGATATTGGCTTATGTGCTTTTTATGAAGACTATTTAAAAGGACTGAGAGAGGAGGCAGTTTCAGATGAAATGAGCTCAGATGAGCAGTGAGAAAGCTGTTAATCATTTCTTGGCCTCATGGATAATCAGACAAGCTTCCTCTAGTTAATTATTGACTTTCTAAAGAAAATGCTTCAAATAAAAGGCATTGGTACAGAGAGGATGCCCCAGTTTCATAAAACATTGTTACAGCAACTATTAACTTCTCATATTTTGCTAGGACAGAATTCAAAGAAAAAACACATTGCAGCAATATGAATTCATTGGTTCTACTGAAAACTGTGGTTCTAGGAAATCAATTGCTGTGGGATTTACCTCAATTCAACAAACATATACTATGTATTTATACTGCAAAGCATTGCTACCTGTTAGAGGTTGGGATCCAAGACATATAAAGATGGAGAAGGCATGATCTTCACAGAGGGAAGTTATCTATTGCTCTTAAATCCTCATAAATAATTCTTGCACAGTTGTTTTAGAGCAAGAGTCAGTGAACTACTGCCCATAGGCCAAATTTTGCCTGCTGACTGCTTTCATAAATAAAGTTTTATTGGAATGCAGCCACACTCATTTATGCACATATTGTCTCTGGCTGTTTTCACACTCAAAAGCAGTGTTGATTAGATGCAATAAAAACTGTATGGCTCAAGAAGCCCAGCATATTTACTTTCTAGCCCTCTATAGAAAAAGTTTACCAACCCCAGGTCTAGAGAGGAGAGAAATCACCAATCTGGTCTTTCTTCCTTTGCACATACAGGAAATACTTCCTTGTCTTTATTTGCCAACCAAATAAATACTACTCTTTGGAAAGTCATAATCCTTATCCATTCATTCAGCAAATATTCATTGAGTGTCAGCTATATGCCAGGAATGTATTAGACAGTTCAGACTCACATTAGTGAACAAAATAAACAAAGATCCCTGCCTTTGAGGCACAACCATTCTAATTGTAGGATATTCATGTTTGTTGTTGTGTTTTTAAAGTATAACATTCAACAAACATTTATTGAGTTCCTTCTGTATACAGGCACTTCAGTAGAGGCTAGAGAATGGCATATTAAGAAGCATCATTATCAACCCTTCAGAATTCAGAGCCTTCACACAAACAGCTAATAGTGCAAAGGAGAAAGGGGTTAAGTACTACAATGAAGACCTCAATAACCTACAGAGGGAGTTCAGATGAGAGAAAGATGCTCCAAGTCTTTTGAAAAGAGATTTGTGATGACAAGGTACAGGGGAGTGTTTTAGCCACATCTGTTTGGATCTTAGCTTTGCAGGTGTAGAAAACCCTGACTGCCTTCCTGTTGACAGACAAGTCACTGTTGGAACCGCAGAATCATGTTGGCAACTGGCTCCTCATGTTCCTGATGACGGAGGGAGGCAGTGGGGCATCCAGCATAACCACACCAGTGCTGGCGGGAAGGCTTAGCAGGAAGCGTGCCATTCAGGTTCCCTTTCAATCAGGCTAGAGCCATCTCCTGCTGCTTACTTCTGTGGCAATAGCCAGGACAAAAAAATGACCAGATTTCTAGAAACCTCTTGAGATTTTTCAGCAGGACCAACATCCACAATATGCTGAGAGCATAATGTAATATTGTACCAAGCGGACCAAGTTAACTGGACAAAGCCTAATCTAAAAGTTTATTTTAGAATTCTGTTCAAAACTGAACTGACACATTTTCTCTGTCTCTGTGTAGACAACAAAAGTATTTCATGGTCTCTTTTCATCAAGCCTAATTGGGTTTCTGTAGGACATACAGTCTTCCTTGCTGTCCCAGCTGTTTGAAAGAGAACAGAACGTTCAAAAGCCAGCCAGTAACACAACATTGCTAATCTGAATTCATGGAGGAGCACGCTTTTGTCCAAGAGATCCCCCTTTGTTACCTGCCCTTTTTGCTCTCTACACAGACTAAATATCTAAGTTGCATTAGCTGTGGGCTTTTTAGTAAAATTACATGAGGCATGTTTTGTTCCCACCCTTCCTCCTCCTGGAAGAATAATGACTTCCAATTTCTAGTTGAAGAGTTAGTATGCAACTTCTTTTTAAAGAAGCAGATGTTTTACTGGATAAGATGAGCTAGGTGACGAAGTGTTGTGCAGTTTATGAAGGAGGAGTTTGCCGAAGCCCTGCATCATATTTGTTCAATGTAAGCATGTGCACACTGTGAGTATGTGCTTTGCTCCTGGAAGCTGTTTCTCCCTCCTTGAATCTCTCTGGCTGTTTTACACTTTGCTCATAGCAATTAATGGCTGTTAGCACTTCTTAGGTCAGCTATTTCTGTACATATCTTAGATCTACAAAGAGTAGCTTCTAAAACATGCTATGTATAACTCCTGGTGCAATTTAAGATCTTAGGTGATTTTCATTTAATAACTGTTAAAATGTATCACTAGTGTATTTTTCAATTTTCCAAATATTGCTTGAGAACAGTAGCAGCAGCCGTGGGGGAATTTGAGGGAGCTTTAACTCTATAATACCTGTTATCTCATTTATAACCACCTACGTCCTATGCTTTTGATAAGAAATTACATGTAAACTGCTATGCAAATGTAGTTCCATGTTGCTCCTAACCCCAACCAATTTACCACCCTTTAAGCTTCTCTCCTACAGAACGGTTGAGGGTACAAGGCTAATCTTTAAGTTAACCTCAGAGGAAATAGTAAATGTAACTATAGGTGAATACTGAAATGGGGGAAATGCTGTTCTATGAGATCGTATGACTTCTGAGGGAAGACACTGTCTGCCACAT